CTTCTTGAAACTTCTTTTTCCGAGCAACTCTCAAAGGCTAGTGAAGAAATCACAGAGTTGAAGGCTTTTTTAAGTGAGAAAGAAGCGTATGCCGGTGAACTTGTGCAAACTCAGACTCAGACTCAAGAAGACCTCTGGGAATCTTCTGATAAGGTTCGTTCCTTAGAAAGTTCACATGCTTCGCTTCAAACTTCTTATGATTCTTCCTTGGTTGAGAATGAAAATCTTAAAAGTGAAATTGCTGACTGGGAGAGAGATTACGAGATTCTTGAAGACAAAACCGCAATTGAAGTAAGTTGGGTGTTTTTAAATACTCGCCATGATACCCTTTTAGAAGTTAGCCAGGAGAATTTTAACTTGGAAGCTGAGTTAGCCAAAATAAGAGAAACTATTGAAAAGATTCAGCAGAGCCAAGACTTTCCTTCTCTCGTGGTTGAAGCTTCTGGCAATGTTGAAGATGATATGGGTACGGTGAATGTTCCAACTCCTTCAAGTCAAGTTGAGCCTGCTGCTGCTGATGACCCTGCTTTGGTTCCTTTTTCAACTCCTCAGTGACGAGTTAATGATATGTGACTCCCTTTTTCTTTTTTTTAGTGGAATGTGGTTGCAACCCTTGGTCCTATTTGAGGGTTTGTTGAAAACATCAAGTCCCCAAACCTTTTTCGGGGTATTTTGTATATGTAACTCTTATGGCTAAGTTCATACTCAAACTTTTTAATATTAAGAAGTTTTTGTAGTTATTTTTGAACTTCTGTTTTGCTCATTCTTGCCTTTATATTTTAAGGACTTATTCAATAGTTTGCACTTTTATTTTGCAAAATGCTTTTTTAACTCCATGAATGTCTAAATAAATTATGAATTTTATAATAGAGGGCCCTTTTATATTCGACACTTAATGAAGAAGACGTCTCAACTTCATACTGGTGTTAATGTACGATAAAAGAAATAGGAATACACATGTTTCTTGAAATAACTTTGACATGTTTTTATTTTGAACTTTGTCAAGTTTTAAATAACACTTTACATGTATTTAAATAACTTCTATAACTTCTTTGTAACTGTTTTCCTTACAACAGATTTCAAAAAAGAAAATAAACACAAGGTTTTTATTTATAACCCGTTTCAGTATATTGTCTTTAATCTAACTATGCTAAGGTTTTTCTTTGGCCTTAGCTCGTAACTTTGCTCAGCATTTGACTCATTTAATGAGTAAACTTTTCAGGCTTGAACTTTGATTATTTCCCAATCTTCTTTGCCTTCTTTATACATATGTCTATATATATTATATAGTCCCCCAAGTATTTGAGCTTTGAAGTATGAAGTCTCGAGCACTTGATTACTCGTCTTATTTGGTCCTTTTCCTGTAAAGGAATAAAACATATAGGACTCGGAGGTACGATTATAGATGAAGACTGCTTATCCCGTCTCAATTTCTATCTGAATAGTTTTAACCCTAGACCGGGAATTTTAATCTATTCCACGTGCCTTGTAGGTCATGATTCATCATTTAGTACGGGTTAGTTTTTTGCCTATCATGTAAAATCGTTAGTAAAATTTTAACAATTCAAAAATAAAATTTTAAAACGAGGATACCTAAACGTGGGTACTCCTTAGAAATAGTATCTCTTTAGGTGAACGACATTACAATGTGAAGGTAATATCTTGCCATCCATTGTTTCCAGTTCGTATGCTCCTTTCCCCGCGATACCATGAATCTTGTAAGGTCCTTCTCAAGTTGGACTTAATTTTCCCGCATTAGCCGCCTTTGTGGATTGAAAAACTTTTTTGAGTACGAAGTCCCCAATCTTGAAGTATCTTAGACGTGCCTTCCGATTGTAATATCATTCTATGACTTGTTTTTGTGCTGCCATTCTTATTAATGCAGCTTCCCTTTTTCCTTCAAGTAGATCAAGTTTTATGTGCATTTCTTCTTCATTGGATTCCTCTGACGCCTGCGTGTACCTTGTGCTTGGCTCCCCTATCTCAACTGGAATTAAGGCTTTAGCTTCGTACACCAATGAGAATGGCGTTTCACCCATACTTGTTTTTGCTGTGGTGCGGTATGTCCATAAAACACCAGGTAGCAATTTTGGCAAATTACCTTTGGATTCTTCCAATCGTTTCTTCAAATTGTTGATAATGACTTTATTTGTCGATTCAGCTTGTCCGTTACCCACCGGATGATAAAGTGTTGAAGTAATCCTTTTAATCTGCCAACTTTGAAAAAATTCCGTGATTTGTGCGCCTATAAATTGCGGGCCATTATCACACACGATTTCCTTTGGTACACCGAATCGACATATGATATTTTGCCAGATGAAATCTCTGACTTCTTTTTCTCGTACCTGTTTAAATGCTCATGCTTCTACCCATTTAGTAAAGTAGTCAGTGAGTGCAAGCAAGAATTTTACCTTGCCTTTTGCTTGTAGTAGAGGACCCACGATATCCATCCCCCATTTTATAAAAGGCCATGATGCAGCAACCGGATGTAACAACTCCGCAGGTCAATGCATGTTATTACCATATCTTTGGCATTTATCATATTTAGCCACGAAAGTTTCCGCTTCCTCTTCCATTTTAGGCCAATAATAGCCTGCTCTAATCATGGTTCTTACCAGTGATCTTCCTCCTGCGTGATTTCCACAATGCCCCTAGTGTATCTCTCTCCTTACATATTCCGTTTGAGAAGGCCCGAGGCATCTTGCTAAGGGTCCACCGAACATTTTTCGATAAAGATTGCCTTGCTTTAAACAATATCAAGCAGCCTTTTTTCGAAGCACGTGAGTTTTTTTCTTGTCTTTAGGGACGGTACCATACTGGAAAAAAGCAACAATCTCGTTCCTTCATCCCAAGTTAAGTTATTAAAATTTACCTCATTTTTGTCTGGATCGAGTACTAAATGAAACAAATGAATTACGGAGGCATTTTCATTGCTCGTCACGTCTGCCGTAGATGCGAGATTGGCTAGGGAGTATGCCTCGACATTTTCATCTCTTAGTATTGCGTAACTTTCCAAGTTTGGAATTGTCTAATTAGGTCCCATACCTTTTCTAAGTACTGCTGTATTCGTGCTTCCCTGGATATATAAGTCCCCAGCATTTGGTTAACTACAAGCTGCGAATAGCTTTTGATTACAATCTAATTAATGCCGAGTTCTCGTGCCCGTTCTAAACCTGCAATCACAGCTTCATACTCTGCCTCATTATTAGTTATAGAATGACATTTTATGGCCTGCCGAATGGTTTCACCCGTAGGTGGTACCAAAACAATTCCTAAACCTGCCCCATTCACATTAGATGAGCCATCAGTAAATAAGGTCCAAATCCCTGGATTAGACCCGTTGAACACCTGTAATTCTTTTTTGCTTCTAATTGCATCCCTTGGCTAAAATCAGCCAAAACATTTGTTAACACCTGAGATTTTATTGCGGTTCTGGGCTGATATGTGATGTCATATTCACTTAATTCTATAGCCCATTTGGCTAACATACCTGATAACTCATGCTTGTGTAATATATTGCGTAATAGATAAGCAGTTACTACGGAAATATGGTGGCATTGAAAATAAGGCCTTAGTTTCCTAGATGCTATGATTAGTGAAAATGCAAGATTTTCTAATTGAGGATACCGCATCTCCGCATCTAATAATGATTTGATAACATAATAAATTGGAGACTGTTTACCTTGGTCTTCACGAACTAAAACCGCACTCACCGCTACTTCTGACACGGCTAGATAGATGAACAATCTTTCCCCAACCTTTGGTTTTACGAGTAACGGCGGATTTGACAAGTATGTCTTCAAGTTTTTGAGTGTTTGTCGACACTCCTCGGTCCATTCAAACTGATCTTGCTTTTTAAGAGCTGAAAAGAATTTTAAATATTTTTCTGATGACTTGGAAATAAATCTCCCCAAGGCTGCAATTCTTCCTGTCAGTCTCTGCACTTTTTTTTACTTGTAAGCATGTCAGGAATTTCTTCAATGGCTTTAATCTGTACAGGATTTACTTCAATACCACAGTTAGAAACAAGAAAACCCAAAAACTTACCTGATGAAACGCCGAATGCACATTTCTCGGGATTTAGCTTTATATTGAATTTTCGTAAGATCTGAAATGTATCAGACAAGTGCGATATATGATCCCCTGATTGTTGAGATTTAACGAGCGTATCATCTATGTAGACCTCCATAGTTTATCCTAAATGTTCTTGGAACATTTTGGTCACCAATCTTTGATACGTTGCACCAGCGTTTTTGAGACCAAAAGACATTACTTTATAACAGTAAGTCCCCTTGTTTGTTATAAATGAAGTTTTTTCTTCATCTAGGGGATCCACTTTGATCTGGTTATACCATGAATACGCATCTAAAAAGCTTAACAATTCATGTCCTACAGTAGCATCAATCAGTTGATCTATATGTGGTAATGGAAGAAAATCATTAGGATAAGCTTTGTTAACGTCTGCGTAATCTACACAAACTTGCCATTTGCCATTCTTTTTCAGTACTACAACAGTATTGACTAACCAATTAGGATACTTTATCTCGCGGATAGACCCAATTTTTAATAGTTTCTGAACCTCATCTTGAATCACCTGATTTTTGAAAGTCCCCTGCTTTCTCTTATTTTGTTTGACGGGTAGATACGATGGGTCTTCATTTAACGTGTGAGTCATTACTTCCGGTGGTATTCCCGTCATATCAGAATGAGACCAGGTAAACAACCCACATTAGTTTTTAAAAATTCAATCAATTTACCTTTTATGTTGTGGCTTAGGTTCACCCCAACGTAGACTTTCCTTTCAGGCCATTATGTAAATAACTCTATAACCTCCAGTTCTTCAATCGTTGTTTTGATATTTTTATTTTCCTCTGGTTCTTGAATGGAATCGGGCCTTGAGTCCACATCTATTCGCCCTTGTTCAATTGAGGCTTGTGTTGTGGTATCTTCAACTGGATTCTATAATTGCTATTTTTCTTCGTTTCTCGTATTTGAATCTGCTACAGAGTTGATACTCCTTGATGTCTGTTGATCCCCACGGATTTGACATATTCCCTATGGTGATGGAAATTAATAACTTGATGTAAGGTAGACGAAACGACATCCATCTCATGGATCCATGGTCTCCCAAGAATCATATTGTAAGCCATTTCCATCTCTACCACCTGAAATTTCGTATCTTTGACAACCTCTTCTGCGAATGTAGTAAGTGTTAGCTCCCCTTTTGTCACAACTCTTGAATTGTCGAATCCAGACAAAGTATGAGCCTTTGGTACTAGTTTATCTTTAGCTTGCATCTCGTTTAGTACTCTTAGCAGAATAATGTTCACAGAACTACCTGGATCAATCAAAACTCATTTCACATGAGAATCATGTACAAGTAGAGATATTACCAGTGCATCGTTATGTGGAGTTAACACGCCATACACATCATCAAATGTAATACTTTCTTCCTCCAAAACATGTCGGACCCGCTTCCCGTGGGTAATTGTAACTTTAGAAATTTTATTGGCTGCTGTATATGTCACGCCATTGATTTCTTCGCCCCCGCTTATACTATTGACGGTCCTTTTGGGAGAAGGAGGTTTAGGGGGCTCCTGACTTTTCTTCATGTATGCTTGCTTACTTTTCTCACTGAATAATTTGGTGAGATACCCTTGCTTTAATAGATGGTCAACTTCACCTTGTAGCAATCTACAATTTGCCGTTTTATGACCATGATCATTGTGAAATTCGCACCAGTGATTAGGATTGCGCCTATTTGGATTTGATCTCATTTCTTTTGGCCACCGCACCTTATCACCCATGCCTCTTAATACCTCTACTAACTCTGAAGTGCTGACATTAAAATTGTAACCGCCAAATCTTGCCTTCAAGTTCCGATCATCATCTCGAATTTCTCGTATGTTTCGATCATTTCTAGACCTTGATGATGAACCCGACTCTCTATTTCTCGATTGAATTGTCCTGCTTTGATCGTGAGTCTTTTCCTGCTGGGCCCATATATGGTTCGTATCTATTTTTACCGGACCTTTTTTCGGTTTCTGAATGTCTCGAACTCACCTTCTCCTCTTTCTAAGTTCGGGAGATAATGTCTTCTTCTATCCTCAGCTTCGTGCTCTATCTATTGTAAACATCATTCCAGGTTGTTGCTGGAAATTCACGCTGACTTTCTTTGAGTCGTCTCGTAGCTTCTGAGCTTTTCTCATTCAAATTACTGGCAAAAGCCATAGCTGCCCAGTTATTAGGTACGCGTGGTAACGTCATTCTTTCATGCTGGAACCTATCCACAAACTCTCTAAGCAACTCTGAATCTCCTTGCTTGATTTTGAAACTATATTCCATTCCTTTTTCAACTTTTTGAGCTCCTGAATGCGCTTTGATAAAAGAATCTGCAAGCTCAGCAAAAGAATTTATAGAATTTTCGGGTAAGAGGGAATACCATGTTAATGCTCCCTTGGTGAGTGTTTCACCGAATTTCTTGACCAATACTGATTCAATTTCTTGTTTGGTTAAATTGTTGCCTTTCACGCCAGTTGTGAATGCAGTCACGTGGTCTCGTGGATCAGTTGTGCCATCATACTTTGGAATATCAGGCATTTTGAACTTCTTCGGGATCGGCACCGAAGCAGCATTAGGCTTCCATGGTTGTTGTGAGTACTTATCTATGTCTATTCCTTTGATTACAGGTGGCACTCCAGGTATTTGCTCTATGCGATCGATTTGCTCCTTGAGCTGTTTCTGCAAAGTTAGAACTAAATTTTGTAAATCAGAATTAACTATGTTACTTGGTTCACCATCGCGAGACTCGCTTGGAGTTCCACCAGTGCCTGAGTTAACGAGCCCGAAATGTGGGTTTTCCAAAGTATTCTGATTCGAGGTTGGTGTTGGTGGTGCAACTGGCAATTGGCTGGTAAAAGCTCGGAGAGCATTGCAGACTTGTTGATCAATGAGATTTTTTAAGGCGTCATCGAGTGCTTGTTCGTTCGCAACTCCAGCATTTTGATTTGCCTCGAATCCGTTTTGATTTGCAACCCCATTATTTGTTTCAGAGCCATCTGGAGTTCCTTCTCGTGACTGACGTTGTGAATCACGCGGTGAGGGAAGCGGGGTCCTGTCACCCGCATTATTCTCCTGATGTTGAGGATCTTGTTGGTTGTTGTCGTTGTTATTTGACATGGTAAGTTTTTTGATGAAAGAATTTGATTAAGAAAGTAAACGATTATCAGATTCCAGGTAACTGAACCAATTTATTTAACCAAAAATAGGAATTTTGGTCAAAACTTTATTTTAGAAGAACTCGGGTTACTGATAATCAAGTATAGAATGAATAAAAGAAATTGACTTTGATAATAATAAGATGAACAGAAGAAAGCAAAATAAATTAGTATATTCCGATGATATTTCGTGTCTTTACAAATGATCAGTCTTCTCCTTTTATAGCTATTTCTAGGTAATACATTTCGTTTCTACCATAATTGAGCGATTATTGTCAATTAATGACATTTAATGACTTTTAATGTAACGTTACAATCAGCAATTGTATTTGATTCAATACAAATTCCTTAACATTTCCCGTATTTAATGCCCAAGTACGTTTCTATACCTTATTTACTATCGGATTCATTCCCTTCCATCATAAAGAGGTTCGAGCGCCTATCCTCCTTGCTTTTTCCCTGAACATCTTCCCGTGCCTGTTGAAGCTCATGCCTCTTTGATTATTCTTCATCACCTATCCCTCTTTGACTGGTCCACGTGTCATGACGTGTCATTTTATAATGAATTCCATATATAAACTTAATTTTTCCCAATACAAGAGCCCTTCCTAATTAATATGTGACTCTTGTCTTTCACACAAGACAAAGAAGTAAGAAAGAAAGGGACTTATAAAGGAGTCTTTGATTTTGCTTTATCAAGCATTGATAATAACATGCACAATTACAACCTGTCGGAGCTTCGCTCGATTAATTTTCTTAATTAACTAAATAATCCCTAAAAAATGTACTATCAAGGGTTTTTTGCTTATTGGAATAAGGATACTAATTCTGGAATAGAATATAAGATTGTATTTATCCCATGTTTAGTTGTAGCGTGTGGATATTAGCTAGTGACATGATAATTTTATACTAAAATGGTGGAATTAGTTATCCTATATATAGAAGATGGAATAGTTAGTTCCATGAGATATCCAAACTCATTCGTTCTACCCTAAACCAACTACCCAACCATCTCATGTAATATAACACACTTCCTGCATCCATAGTTTCACATCTCAATCGTTATCAAAGAAATTTTCTTTAGGGCACGACTTCGCAAAAGAAAAAATTACATCTTATAAAATGGCAGACTGTAACCCAACCTCTATTTCAAGTTGGATTGGGAATTCAAAACTTAACCATTAAAAATAAATCTTTACACGCTAGCCTTGCATGGAGACTCTTTCAAAATCCAAATCAACTTTGGGCACAAGTACTGTTGCATAATTATCTTCGCCCCAAAGATCACATAAAAAATATTGTCTCCTCCACCTAGAGGAACATAATGCGGGGTTGGTTGTCCTTTAAATTAGGCTACAAATAGAACCTTGTCACTGGTCACCATGTGCATTTTTGGTCGGACCCTTGGCTCAAACCACATTTCACACTCCGCAACTGCATCAATGGACCACTACCTAGTTATGAGGAGAAAAAATTAGTTTCCAATTACTACTATAATTAGGCTTGGCATCTGGAAACATTACCTTTAATCTTACCACAACAAATTGAGCACAATATCAAGGACATATACATGCCTTTCTCAACAACAAACTATGATCAAATTTTTTGGTCACTTACCCCCCTCCCCCCATGGTTACTTCTCTGTTAAATCTTGTTATGCATCACTAAACCCTACTCCCACTCCAAATTCTTCTCACAGTTGGATTTGGAAACTAAAAATCCCCCAAAAATATCATTCTTCCTCTGGCAAATTTCCCATAATAAGCTTCCTACCGCTACATACTTGTCCTAATTAGGTATTTTAGCATCACCTTTATGTACACAATGTCATTTGGTACCTGAAACAATAGAGCATATCTTTTTTGGGTGCCCTAAGGCTCTACAATTATGGCAACTATTAAAATATCGCTACCCCTTCATGTAATACTACTCTTTCACCTAATTCTCACACTTGATTGTATGACATTATTCACACACATCCTTCTACTACACCTCATAACATCCCACCTACTACCTTAATACCCTTTGCATTATGGCATAGCTGGCTTATCCGTAATAAACATAGGTTGGAAAATAAACAACTTGCTTTAAATATTCATTTACTAATTACTACTACAGCTGAATATTACTACTTAACAACTCACACACACCGAATAACAGATTGCCAATCTATCCCTCTCTATATCAAATGGCACCCACCAGCTGCCAACTACTACCAACAAATATAGATGGATCTGCTTCATTCTCCCCTAAGCAATATGGCATTGGTGGGTATTTCGAAACTACCAAAGTAGTTGGGTGGTGGGATTTGCAGGTCAATCAAAAAAAGGTAACAACATCGAGATAGAACTTTTTGCACTTCTTATGGGTTTGAACGTAGCTTTACAACAGCATTTGACACCATTGGTGATCGAAATAGATGCCCAGCAGCTCATCGGTATGTTCCAAACTACTCCTATACATTATGCTAACATTATAAACGACTGCAGGTTGTTACTCCGGCAGCTGCATAGCCCATCCCTCCAACATATATTTCGAGAGCAGAATTGTGTGGCTGACAGTCTCGCTAAGTATGGCTCCAGGAACACACAGTCTACCTGTCTACTTTTTGAACAACCGCCATCTTTTGTCCTAACTTACCTTTAGCAAGATCAACAAGGTACTCAACAAAGGAGGATTGTACCTATCTCAACACAGCCGCTCTCTACTTCAGATAGTTTTTGTAATAGTATTGTACTGAATACTTATGACTTAGTACCTAATAGTGCCCTCCATTCAGGGACACCAGTAGCTCCTCTTATGTATTTTCCACTAGCTACTATGATGCCTAGCTTGCATCAAGTTTGATGTATTAGTATATGTATTAGTACTTTTCTCTATAATACATGTTCTTCCTTTTGACCAAAAAAAACCCATAAATATCCTAATCTATCCAACGTGGTAATCAAACGACACCTGAAGGTGGAGATACAGGAGACCAAATTTTAGTGGCAACTCCGTTGGATAACGTTAATATGATCAAAGGCAAGTACGACTTAGTCATGTATCACAGAAGAGGTATTGTAGAGAGTTCAATAAACAAGAATGAATGATTTTTATATATATAAGGAGAGGAAAAAGCCACCTCCTTAAGCTAAATGACAGCCTTACAATTAGCTACATGTAACTAATTAACTATTAATTAATAACTAATTTAGCCATATGACATAACCAGAAAAAAGCACATATAACTTATTTCTAAATTGATTAATAATAAATAACTAATTTAAAATATCGGAAATTTTATTGTATAATACTTAAAAATATATTAAAAAATTTAACAATTTAGAGTGTTAATTTAAAATAAAATAAATATCTATATCAAGATTTAAAAATTAGACATGCATTGATCTATATTATATTAAAGGACATAAATGGATAATAATATTAAATAAAGAGGAAAGTTGATGAAGGCTACATGAAAACATGAAATATTATATATTACATAATAGCAATAATTAAAAATTTAAAAATACTTTATATTAGAAATAAAAGGGATAGATGATTTGAAATTAAGATTAGATTAAAATTATGGTAAAAACGCTTAAACT